TTATATTTTTATGATTTTATTTTTATAATTAATTTAAGATTGATGATTAAAAATTAATTATTCATATTTTAAAACATAAATACTAGATAAATGCTTATATTTTAATATTAAAAAATAAAATCTACTACATTTAAGTCATATAAATAAGACAATTAAAATTAAAATTTTTGTCAAATAATCATCTTGATTGATTTTGCATTAAGGATAGAGCTATGGAATCTCTAAATGAAATTATGTTACGATCCTCCATTGTACTAACAACAGTACTTTGAGAAATTTCTTGATCTATGCTCTCTTCTCCAGGCACTTTAGGTATATAATTTGGGTTCTTATCACACCTATCAAATTCTTTATCTCTGATTGCATGTTGCCTAATATAATTATGAAGTGCAATTGTTGCAGCTACTATCTTCTTCTGTGTTGTAAATGAATAACTTCGCATGCCAAACAATATTTCAAACCTATTTTTCCAACACCCAATAGATCATTCAATGACATTTTTAAGACAAGCATGAGCATGGTTGAATACTTTTTGATAACCGATTGGTTGACTTCCACGTCTAAAATCAGGAATGTGATACCTTTCTCCTTTATAAGGTGCCAAATATTCATTTATATTAGGATAACCAGCATCAATAAGATAATATTTACCTAAAATATAAGAGAAAAGTTATTAATAATAAATACGAAAATTTTTCTTAAAAATTCATTAAGAATTGTGCTTAAAAACTATAACACAAAATAAATAAAAAATTATTACCATCAGGAGGATGAGGAAACACATCATTATGATTTTCCAATGTATGGGTTAAAACACGTGCATCATGAGTAGATCCAGGCCACTCTGTAACTACAAATGTAAATATCATGTCAAAATTACAAACTACCATCACATTTTGAGTGGGGATGCTTTTGCGACCTATAAATGGTATTAGGTCTTCTTCAGGGATTGTGGCTTTAACATGCGTACCATCAATTGCACCAATACATCCTTTAAAATAAGGCCAAAACCTACTATCTTATCAAATCTGATTGGGAGTTTCGGTAAAATTATAATCAGGTGGTTTCACAATGTCACTTGAAAACCTCACCATTACATCAAGAACCTCTTGAAATTTTCTACTTATTGTTTCTCCCGAATGTTTAAAACGATTTTGCACATTTCGATTAGATTGATTATGTGCACATGTCCAAAGAAACATTGCAAGTGATTCTTCTGCACATATTTCTCTTGTTGATGTTAGCCCATAATTACTAACTAACAAAGAACATAATCCCGTAAAAACATGTAGTTCCATTCTAAATAATTTACAACTTTCACCTAGAGTTGCCAATGTCTCTTGCACCCATTGCCAACCGGAAAGTCTTGAAACTCTTCTTTTTTGTTTGTTAAGATATTTTGAAATATAATTTGAAGATATTGAAGCACCTAAGTGAACAAGAGAATAAAAGATATTATCTCTTTTTCGTCTACCTTCCACCTGCTTATTTCTTTGTTCTATAGCTTGTTCCTCCATCTCATCCTCATCGCTATTTTCTTCCTCCACCTCACACTCATCACTATTTTCATAATTCCACCTTGGATCTAAATCCATCTACCAAGAAAAAGAAAAACATTAGGATCCACATATGAACACAAAAAACCAATCTAATTATTTTTACAACAAAATTAAAAATGTAAAAAAAAAAAAAAGAAAGATAACATACCTTTTTATCTTTCTCTTAAGTTGAACAATAAATGAACTTTTGAACTCTTGAAGTTTTTGACGTAAATTGAATTTGGGAGAAGTGCATGAGGGTGTTGTAATTTAAATAGGGGGTTGTGTTTTTATTTATGCTTAGATTTTTTTCTATGTGATTGAGAAATTTTTTTTTAAGACAGGCTTTTTTCCATGTGATTGAAAAATCTTTTTTGAAGGCAAGCTTTCTTCCATGTGATTGATAAATCTTTTCTCAAGACAGACTTTATTTTTTGGTGTGATTGAATTGCGCAGTACATGCCTACAGTCCCAATGCATGCACTGAAATCAGCTCTTGGGCAGTGCATTGCGTACTGTCCTCAGCTGTTGCCCTCAGCTATTGAGATTCTACACATTTGAGATTCTGCACATTGCAACTTTTGATATAAAAGGTAAAAAGGTTTACTAGCCCCTAAAATTCTTTGATTGTAATGATTTAACCCAAAACTTATTTTTATTTATAATCTACACTTTTAATTTCAA